GGCTCGCAGTGCAACATTAGGCTCCCAAGCATGGACAGTACATTAATTTGGTGGCTACAGTCACGCCTTTATTTCGGCACAGTACATAGGCCTAGTTCGACTTACCCCATATTCGGCTTGTTCGGCTTCTTTTTTCAGCCGGAACAGTATTTTTCTCTCACAACAATTCAGCCAGAACAGTGTTTTTCAGGCAGTTTTAACCAAATTTCAGACCAGCGAACGGGGCCATATAGGTTTGACTACACTTGCTTCATCTGTTGATCTTTTTCTTTAACTTATCTTCATGTTCATATGGTCTGGACACATTCATCTATACCTACTATTTAACAGGTAAAATTTCAGCCTTTTTTTTCCATCCATTTGTTTCATCCACCTCTCTTTAACTAACTCGGCGAATATAAAAATTGTCTCTGCTCGTTTATCTATAGCCCTCCTGATTTATATATGACATACACAAGGCTTCTTGAGGTAATATGGATAGCTAGGACTCCTAATCCTAATCCAAATAGATTGTTCCTATTATGAGTAATAGTCATGATCCGAATAGAAAAGAATTGGATAGCTAGCAATTCTAATCAAACATATTTTTCTAATTCTGAGTAATAAGCGTCCGTGTTCGAATTGGTATGGTTCCTTTTTCCCACGTTCAGCGTCCAACTTCCTGTTCTAATTTCGTTTCCCCATAAATATCAATAATAATATTATACACCTTTGAACCTTTAATGTCTTCTTTAAAAAGATATATAGCTGTGAACGCTAAGATTTTGTGTTCGGTGATTGTACATAAAAGTCATCTACTTTTCTGTTTATTATAAATCTAATGAATAAACAATAAAATTATTACTATACTAGTGAGGGTCCGAGCGTTCATGTATAACTTGTTGACCCCTAGGGTGCCGCTAAGGCATGTTTTATTGAATATTTTCTCTACCTTAATACAAAGACGTACAAACCTTTTGCGTGTTCGTGAAAAAATTACATAATTAAAGATTTTTTATTTTTAACATGATCATGAGATACAAGGATTTTTTCTGTTGTAAAATACAAGTACATTTGCTATCTATATATTCTTATACAATATTAAAAGAATTTGTTCTCTAGATTTTCGTTGTTTGCTCTCTTTATTATCTCCACCAGTTCATCCATCTGTTCATTTCTCCGAGCATAAGAGTTTACGATGGTTTCACTAAGAGTGGTATGTGATGAATTATTGATACGAGTTGTGATTAGTTTAATATCTGGTCTGTGACCTGAGCTCACGATCGATGTTCATACGAGTTAGAAACACATCTAGCCACGATACAGACTCGGTTTCCGAGACACGTTAGAATAGATGACTACGTATCTTCCGTTGCAACACACGGGCATGTTTGCTAGTCATAGAAAAAAGCAGTACCTTCAAAACGGCGTTCCCTTGTGCCCTGTCAACATTGGAAGCAGCAGCGCAACACTACTGCACGGGTTAAACCAAACATTTTTTTTGAGGGGAAGGGTTAAACCAAACATGGAAAGCATTTGGCAAAGATTTCTGGCCTCAAATTAGGGTCACCTTGAGGCCTATTTTGAAAGCCCAGAATCCAGATCGACCATCTTATGAGCTTAAACTGTTAGGCCTTAGGCCCAGATGAGGCCTGAAGATGATCGAATGCTCGAGGGGCCAGGCCGCTGCTGACTTTGCACGACACACAACAATATAGATTGGATAATCTAAAAAAACAATATAGATTGGATTTCTCTCCTTATATAAACTCCAAAACCGGACATCTTATCCCTTCTCCCCTCAACTCTTAAAACAATTTAAATTACCAGATTAAAAGAGGTTTTGGTGGAGGTTCCATTTTCAAAATTTAAAATCAGTAAATACCCACGAAAATGTCTCTAAACTTCTAAAAACTCCGAGAAAACCGTAAAGGTAGATTGAGATGCAAAAAACCCAACTAAAATATTTAGATAAGCTTCCAAAAATCATAGTTAATTATAGGAAAATATCAAACAAAGTCTAGAAAAAATTCTAAAACATTTAATCTATGTATAAAGGCGTATTAAAAAATTTTGACAATAAAATACTATATGCAACCAGTAGGAATCCATTTAGCATTAACATATGTTGCATTCATGTGGGTTGTATCTCATATTTTTGGTGTGGAAAAATATAAAATGTGTTTATACATTGATCATAATGTTTTGAGGTTTCTCTGTTCTTTATATTTTCTCCATTTTTCTAGAGCTAAATACATTTTTGTAAGCTTTAGAGATACTTCATGAGCTTTAAATATGTTATTTGGGTTTTTCATGCCCCAATCTATCTTTAGAATTTTCTCAAAAAATTTAGAAGCTTAGAAATAATTTTCATGATTCAAAAGTTTATTAAGTATTTTAAAAAATTATTTAAAACCCATGAAAGTGCCATAAAAACCACTTCTAACTACATAATGGATGTAATTTAAATGTTTTTTTAGAACTATGGGGGAGTAAAATGTCCTATTTTGAAGTTCGATGATGAAAATCAAACCACGACTATAGTAGAAGAAGAAAAATGTTTCCCCCCTGGTTTATTACTTTCTTCTCCGTTGTGGCTTACGAGACAAAGATAGGAAAATGTCAATTTGATCGCCACAACTATTGACATCATCCAATTTTTCTCCTTAAAATACAAAACCAAATATCATATACCCTAAATTGTCTAATCTAGGATAAATCACACCCCTAGTTGGTCTTGACAAAAGTTTTAGCCTATATGGCGCCATGTTATCCTCAGCGGGGGTAAATTGGACTAGTCGATAATTCATGGTTAGATATACATGTGCAAAATTAATTTAGAAAAATCATAGAAATTCTATTTAGCTCAAAAATGTGAAGCAAGAGCTTTATATTTTTCCTAAAATCATACTCTATTTTATGGCACGTAGCTTGGAGTTATTTGAATCTTCTACTGTCTCCTTTTTGTGTTTATTTTTAGTAAATTATCTCCTCATCTGTTATAATGATTTAAAGTTGATGACCCAGACTACATAGAGGGATAGGTGACTTCGACCACAACACGAGTGTCACTTGATCCTATCTACGACCATGTTAATGTTGGTCCAAATAAAACATGATATGTATCTGTTGCACTAATCTTATCTGGTCAAAGATAATTGATGTCGAGTTTAATTGAGTTGACTTCAGAAACCACACGATAATTTGGTCATTGCTCAATGTGCCTAACTTTTGATCAAGTGATACTTATGTTTGTGGTTACATGACAATTGTGTTTTCGTCAAGTCTTTTGGCCTTCTTCATTTTATTCAAACACGTCTTGGCCTTCTATTAGCGTGGGATATCAACGCTAACTAATTATAATTATAATAGAAAAATGAGGGCATCTACTAGTAAATAAAAAAAGAGACCATAGAAAAACCAAATAACTCCAAACTATATGCCAAAAGATAGTGCGATTTTAGAAGAAAAAAACTAGATTTCATACCTCTTCAAACTAAAATAATATTTCACAATTTTTCTAAGATCAAACAAGATTTTACAATTTTGAATAGCATATCGTCTTCTGCGAAAAGTACATGGACAATTTTATTAAAAAAATATTTCTATATGTTTCATAAAGTCCATTTGACCCTGAACTAATATAGTCCAATCTATTCCCCACAGGTGCTGACGTGGCATGTCCACTAAAACCACTGTCGAAATCAGCGTGGGATGTGATTTGTTTGGTATTAAAATAGTACTCCCTCCGTTTCAAATTATAATTCGTTTGACTTTTTTGACATCAAGTTTGATCAACCGTCTTATTCAAAAAATTTGTGTAAACATAGTCAAATTTAAGTCATTTTTGAAGAACTTTTGTTAATAAAGCAAACCATAACAAAAGAAGTGATATTTTGCACACATTTTTGAAAAAAAACGAGTGGTCAAACTTGGGGTCAAAAAAGTCAAACGAACTATAATTTGCAACGGATTTAGTAGTTTATTAGGGTGTAAGATATCTTGTTTTGTACTTCAAATAGGAAACTCGGATGGCGTATATCTGAGGTCAAATGAACTCTTTCCCACAAAGATATAGTGAGAATGCATTCGACCCGGCGCAGGCCCAGCCAAGCAAAAGCAGGGGCGGACGGGAGACGGAGTGGGCCGCAACTGCCTCTGTCGATATGCAGGAGTATTTGACAATCGACGGGCCAGGGTTTTTGCTGTTGATGGACGCGCAGAATATCGCACAAGTTTGAACTTTTGACGAAAAAAATATCCCAACTTCGGTCTTGTAGGCTCGCACTCAGCATTCCTCGAGCTCCAGGTCACGGGCTTCCAATTGTTGGCCACGTGATGCTGTACGTGCTCGTGCACTTTCCAGGAGCCCAAAATAAGCAAAGAGAGGGGTGTTCTTTACGTAGATTTTTTTTAGTTAGATCGAAATCTCAATCAATACTCAAAAGTTGCTGTCGTGTTTTTAGTTTTTACCCCCTCCACTTTCTTAGTATTTGTCCTAATTTTCTCCTCTGCTCCATTGCCATCATTCCTCCTCTTTCCATCCTGGTGAGTGAGTCTCTTCAGTTGGACGGTTGCGCGAGACGCGGAAGACGCAATCGACGTGCGGTGCGTGGGACCTTATTGTCAGGGAGCGATCGAAAGAGTGAGGGTGTGGCCGAAGAGCCAAAGAGTTTGGCGCGCACAACATAAGCAATGATGGAAAAATGATTCTGATGCGGTCGTTGAGCACCGCGTCCGATCGATCCATTCGTGAAATTTCTCCTGCCGCCACAACCTTTACGCAGCAAACATTTTCGCACTCGCTCTTAGACCACACAATCGTATGATTTTTCTTACATTAATTTGGCAGGCACGCCGTCGAATTTACTACTGCTACACTCTTAGCGTGGCTTGCATTCCCATTTCTCACTTTCTCATGATGCTGCCAGTGCCAAAGTTCACTCTCCACCACCACCACTCAGCCGTCGTTCACACACAATTGCAAAAGACCCGAAGGCCGAAGCTCCGGCGGCGATCGATCAGTAGGAGGCCGGCGGCGGGAACCGGGAGCCGGTGGCGAGGAAGCAGGCGACCCGGAAGCCGGTGACGAGCGCGGCGAGTGCCAGGAAGGCGAACCCCGCGAAGCCGAGCCCCACCGCGACGTCGGCCCGCACGCACGCCGCCGCCGTCGTGGCGGCCTCGCTGCCGCTCGTCGTCCACCCTTCGTCCCGCCCTCCGCCGCCGCACCCCGCCGCGTCCCGCGCCGCCGTCGCCGCCGCCGCCAGCGCCATGTAGCCGAATCCCTGCATGCATGCGTGCGAGCGTGCACAAGCTTCCTGATCAGCTCCCACTCCCAGCGGGCGCCATGCATGGCCGTAGCCGATCGAGTACAGTATGTCCTTATGTTACCTGGTCGTGGGCGAAGTCGAACCAGAGCTGCATGGCCTCCGGGAGCAGCGTGGCGCCCCTGGCCACCTCCCACGCGGCGGCGGCGGCCTCGGACGCCGAGTACACCGCCACGATGGCGTTGGCCGCCAGCAGGAACCGGAACGGCGCGCGCCGGAGCGTGGCGGCGGCGGCGAGCGCGGCCGCGGCCGCGGAGGCGCACAGCGCGCCCACCCGGAGCAGGAGCAGAAGCGTCGCGCCGCGCCGGCCCCGCCGCGCCGCCGCCGGCTGCTTCATCGCCTGCTGCGCCTGCGCTTCCAGCGCCCACCCGCCGCCGTTCTGCAGCGGCATCGTGGACATGGTCTGCCGCTGGCCTCGGCTAGTCGGCTTGGCTCAGCCTCAGCTCGGTCAGCGACGGTGACCCCCGGTCGATCTTCTGGCGTTCTCTGATGCTGGTATTTGTAGAAGGCTCGCCGGGGTGACGGGGGTCACGGCCTCACGGGCGGCAGGGTGCCGACGTGGCGCGTCCAGGGTCCCACATGGCGGTGATCCGGTGACGGCGGCGAGAAAAACTGAAAAAAAGGCAAAAGAGGCGGCCAGCTGCCTGGCCAGGTGTGCGGCGAGTGGTTGGTGTGGACATGTGACCGGATTAATGGTGGCATGGATCAATGGGGAGTATGCTTGTGACGCCATCCTATCCTAATTGCAGGGGCCAACTCACAGGTTCTTCACTAGTATTCCGTACCCGAAAGAAAGAACGAACTTAACACAGGAAATAGATAGTATACTAGCCAGTGCCCCGCGCGGTGCCGCTGTAATGAGAAATATGTGCAGAGAATGTATTATTCATTTGATATGTCCTAAAAGAATTACTTTTTTTAGGAAAAAAATGTCTAACCTAGTATAAAAAAATAGTTGTTTGTGAGTGCCTAGCATTGAAAAGGAAGAGAGCAAAAATAGGGAAAAACACAAGTAAGTTTAAAAAAGTAGGTAGCATGCAAGGAAGAGAGCAGTAGGAAAGGGGAATAAAAGGGAAAAATCATTCGCTGCAGTAGTCGGGGTATGGTATCCAAAGGACGGGAGAGCATGGGTTGGTACAGTAGTCGAGTACTGCTTATTAAAGGTTGCTAATGTTTGAAGGTATGTATTGTTGGTAACGGGTAAGTGCTTTTTTTGAAACGGGTTTATATTGTTGCAAACAGATTAAAGGCCGCTAATGGTTAATGGGTGTGCACTGTTGTCAACGGGTATGCACTGTTGTGTAATGGGTAAAACAGTTGCACAGAATCCGTTACTATACAGTTCGGGCGGTACCGTTGTACTGTTCACAGAAACGGTGTTTATATGAGAGGGCAATGCTGGTAAACAGTGATCTGTGAGGGAGGGGTTGGTATATAGCTTTAGGAGTACAGGGTAGATAGGGTGATATGTATAGTAAGTTACCATAAACCCAAGTCATTTATTGTTCGAAATATAAAGACACATACTAGTTCTTCAGGAGAAAATAAACAGAAGCAAATGCTATAATATAATAACTAACAAAATGAACCAACATTTTCCTTATGAGTGTCTAGTGACATTTCAATCCATATTGAGTAACTCCTCCCCTTTCAAATCCACATCACATCTGATACAGAACAAAATCTATTGTATCAAAAAAAAAGTGTCAAAACGGCGACTTATAATTTAGAACGGGGAGAATAATATATATTTAGGCGTATAAAAAAAGTCATGTACATAAACAAAAATCAGAAAAGTTAACAATTTAGAATGGATACAGTACTATTTATTTAGGCGACGGTTTAGTAGAGATAGATATTTTTGTTCGAGTCTGCCTGTCATTGACCGGTCCGCAGCGGAGGACTCACCTCACGCTTGATGACACGACGCCTTACACTGCTACTAGTCGTCTTCTCCCCTGTTGCAATCGTCATCCTATAGTAGTATCGGCCAAACTGACGTTGAAGAACGATCGAGACGGCCGGCATGCATGATCGATGCACTCTCCGTGCTACTAGCGCTAGGTCCACCGGCGGGGGCTGGCTATAGACGGTAGAGAAGTCAACCTGCTGCTGCGGCTGCTCCGATCCAGATGGAAGGAGAGGGAGATGGCCAGACCCACATGACATGGGCGACGGCCGCCGCGTGATCCCCGTGAACCTGGCCGGCCGGCGACCGCAAAGCGCAGAAAGCAGAGCGGAGTAGCTGATCGATAAAGCATGAAAGCCGCAGCCGCCGTACGTGTACGTGTCGGCGTGTACCTTGGAGCCGGGCAGCCGGCCGGTGGTTCTTCTGTCGTTTAACCTTTTTTTATATATTTTTTCGTAATTTACGAAAATAAATACAGTATGGATCTCGTATAAATTCTCCAAAAATATACCTAAGTCGTCTTTTTCGATGGACGAAAAGCACTGATCATCCTATACCATAGAACGAAAAGTAACGAAACGGTTTGCAACGATTCTACAGATATAGATGAAAGGTGCATTTTGTTCTACGGGTAGACGAAAATGTAACTTTAGCTAAAATATATCTTTTGCCGGGGTTTTTCGTCAGTGTTTTAGCTATGGAAATCTCCTATACCTGAATAGAAGAACTCCACTAGCATATTTTCTAGGTTTCTCAGCATAGCCACGTCACCACCTGTTATTTGTTCCTTCCGTTTCCCTATCGTAATTGCAAGAGCTTATTGCTTTCATGTTGGATCACGTACAAATGCGGTTAGGTTGGACACCAATCGAACAGCCACACATCGATTCATATGCCACCATAAATGCATGCACATGCTTGGTAACTGTCGTTGGCATGCAAAATGTCATTGCGCTCATCTTTAAATACGTACTTGCGCGTAGAGGCATGGTACTGCTCCACTCCAGTAATCTAGAAGGCCTGCTGACAGTGAATTAATGCAATTAAGAAAGCGATGAGTCCGCATCCTAATCGCTTTAAATCAACAGCGCACGGGGACATGAGTCTGACGCTGCTGCGCAGGGACATGATAGGCGTGGGCTGCCATGGGCACACAGCCGGAGGTGGAGGATGTAGGGCGCATCGCTTGGCGCTCGCCGTCCATCTCCACACGTCGCCCTGCACTATGCCTGTTTCGCGGAAGACTTCGACCCCATCATGACCTTTTTTACGAGAGATCAGAGATGGATAGGGCCTTCACTAAACTACCCATGCATGTTCTACTCGAAAGTATACTCAGTTGCCGGGCGCATGCAGATACATGAGCTCCAGCATCCCTACTGTCATCATCGTCTCTCGGAGACTTGGAAGTGTAGTAGCGATCATCGCTCAATTTTTAAAGTATAGACGGTGTTGTTTCTAACGAAAGCAAATGACAGAACCAAAATAATGTCATTTAATATGTTATTTTTATTTTCTCCGGCCCTATTTTTTTATAAGTAAATTGTGAAGTTTTCTCAGTAGTCCTTTAAAAGGCGGACCGGTCATATTGAGACTTATGTTTATCTAAATTTATCTCTCAAATTACATGGCAAAGCAATATGGTGTTGTAGTTAGATAATACTATTAATTCTCGTGTATAAATTCTCCTAATTTACAACGCAAGATAATTCTTGCAGCAACGCGCGGGGTATCATCTAGTAACTTAAGTTCAATAGCAAATTGTTTAACTTGAGGCGCCAACTGTAGAGAAGGGGTGGGCAATGGTGGTGGGGCGGCGCATCAACGACATCTGTGCACGGAGAGAAAAGAGAGAAGGAGAGAGAGGAAAAAAATTGAGAATAAATATTTTGTCCATTTACATATAGGTTGTAAATGTGAGGAGGGATTAAAAAGGAGATATTTTTCTCACTCTGCCGCAGCACATCTCTCCTAAAACCTGAAAACTCGTTGTCTTGATCCCTTATATATAAGGGAAGAGAAAAAGGGAATTCGGTGGAGATACTCCGAGGAGTTGGTTTGCTGGTTAACACACAATCAGCATAGTAGATCCAAACACGCCATCTAACAGCTTAAAATGAGCTACTCGCTAATAAAAAAAAAAGCTATTTCACCAAGCTACATAATAGTAAATCAACTCAACAAATAGGCACGCTAATAAAAAGCCATTAGCTAGCTTCCCCTGTTGGTAGCTAACGAAACGAAGCGTGTGACGCCACAATGATTTGTCAGTCGATCGATCATAGTGGCGTTACAGGTCCAGCCGTCCAGCACCGTACCAGAGTACTTTGGAGATATCATACCACGCTGTCCACGCTGGTAGGTTATGTAGTGCACAAGTCAAGATTAAGCCCTTGTTTAGTTGGAGAAATTTGGATTTTGGGGCTACTATAGCACGTTCGTTTTTATTTGGCAAATAGTGTTCAAATATGGACTAATTAGGCTCAAAACGTTCGTCTCGTAATTTCCCACCAAACTGTGCAATTAGTTTTTCTTTTCGTCTACATTTATGCTCCATGCACGGGCCACAAACATTCGATGTGACAAGTACTGTAGCAACTTTTTGGAAGTTAGGGTGGAACTAAGCAAGGCGTAAGTGCGTGAATGTGTGATATGATAGGGTACGGTTGTTGCGAGCATTCAGGCCTTGCCGGGCCCAACCCAAGCTGATCCAGCGTGTAGTCAAAAAAAAAAAAACCGGATCGGAGTGTGGAAACGACAAGACGAGAAGCCGCGGTGCGCAAGTCAGCAAACGCGTACGTTACGTCGTCTCGGGTGCCAGCTCGTCGTGAAATTAGGCAGCAGGTGGGGTAGTATAAAGTTGGTTGGGCGTTGGGTTATTCCTCGTCTCCGGCGCGGCTGCTTGACGGTTGGTCCGTCCGTCTCTCAGCCTCTCCGGTCTCCGGCGAGGTGCGCCGCAGGGTCTGCGCTGGCAGCTCAGCACAGTGTTCAGTGATCACGATCAGCAGCCTTCGCAAGGACCACCAGACGGTTTCCTCACTCCAGCATCTCGGGGCTGGGCTATAGGCTCTTGTTGTGCATGCGATAGACAGGTCAATATTAGGTCCCATCTGTGTGATGGGCTGAGATTTCGGTTCACCGAAGAAAGGCCTAATAACGAAGGAAATGGGATTATGGGAGCATGGGTGCATGGCGCGCGGACTAGTGTATCTGGCGCAGCCATCTGGAGTCTCACACCTCCTCGCTCTCTCTCTCAGATAAAAAAAGAGCCTGGAGCCTTATACCACTCCAAACGATGTCTTTTACTATATTTTCTTATTGCATGAACCTATAGTACGTGTCATTGGCCCTATTCGTTTTGCTAAAAAAATCATGACTAAAAGTATTATTCGCTGATTTGCTGTGAGAAAAATATACTATGTGTTCGCTGAAATAGTACGGCTCATAACACAAGCCAACAGGGCCGTTGGCTAATAGTGGCAATATTTCAA